ATGCGGTTGGATGGTGGTCGGCGAGGAAAACTGCGACTGAAAGGGCTCTTAAGGGAAATAGTAGGGTGGTATGCAGCTGCTGGGAGAGCTAGACGAGTGTTGAGAAGAGTCGGATGGGCTGTTGGAGAGTGGTTGGTAAGAGAGACAGCGATTGGAAGGAGTCCCGAGGGAAGTAGTAGAGCTGACAGCAGTAGCGGTTTGCACTAGCAGGAAGAGGGTTGGAAGGTGGCTAGCAGCTGTAGGCGAGGGCTGTGTTATAGGAGAGCTGGGAGGTGGTTGGCAGTTGTAGGAGAGTTGCGAGTCTGTATGAGAGCTGGGAGGTCACTGCCAGTTGTAGGGGAGAGGCTACGGGGGATGGGAGATGGAACGACAGCTATAGGGAAGTTTGTGGTTGTTGTAGAAAAGTTGGGAGGTGGTTGGCAGTTGTAGGAAAGAGGTTGCAGGGGTGAACTAGAAGATGGATCGGCAATTGTAACTTTTGACGATAGTAAGTTGGTTGAAATTAGCACTGTGTTTCACGCTTCATCTTCATATTTACTCATTCTTCTCTTCAACCTTCCATATCAAAATCAAAGGTAATCTCCCACTGGATTTGCTCTTCAATATCCATGAGCCTCCGCTGAAGATGGCAGAGTTCTCGTCGTATCTCGTCTCAGGTAGGCTCTAGCATAGATCTCCTTGGTGGCATGGTTGACGGTTCAGGATCCTGGAAGGAACGAAAAGAAGAAACAAGGAAACAAGAGAGAGAAAAAAATAAAGGAAGGAAAGAAAAAAATTGTTTGTTGGATTAGGTAGGGGCAAACTAGTAGAAAACCCTAGGATGGGACTAGAGTTGGGCTGCTCTAATACCAAATGATACCGGAGAAGAAAGGTAAAAACAAAAAAGAGGGTCACAACACACAAACTCGAAATAACATCACCAAAATACAAGACACAAATGAACAACTCGAGAGTTTATCCCAAGGGCGGTTCAGGTTGGTTGAAAGGTGGGGTAGCATGTCGGGAAGGTGGGACAATAGCTGGGGTAGCGGAAAGCAGTTGGGAAGGTAGAAAAATAGAGTACAGCGGCCTGCTCACTGCAGAAGGGGGCTGGACAGCGGTCCGTGATTTGGCGGGTTGGGAAGCAGCCGACGATTGCTGGGCAGAGGGCAGGAGTGGCAACGGCCTGCTGTAGGGTTGGGAGGTGGGGAGTAAGACCGACGCTAGAAAGGAAAATAAGAAAGAAGGAAAGGAAGGAAGGAAAAGGGGAGGAGGGAAAAAGGAAAGAAGGGAAGAGGAAGGATGGAGCAGCAACAACCCCCCCCCCCCCCCCCCCTGCTCGCCACCGCGTATGGAACGCAACCACCGCCGCCCACG